TACACACACACAAAATGGTTTGTATATATAAAATCTTAAAATAGATAAGCAATTTTTAATATTTCTGCAATAATAACAATAAATCGATTAACTTGACTGTGCAGTCACAAGTATTTATTCAAGATTCTTTAAATACCATTAATCAGATTTTTGCTTATATATATAAATATGCATTGCTATTAAATTCCACTATCAGCAATACGACTACCAATCATACATAATTATCCGACAAGGCTAGATTTGCAGTTATTGAAGCGTGATCACTTCAATATAAATATATATTCCCGGGAATAATTCTCGTAAAAACCGTCACAAGTTTCTCATGAATGGTATGTAACTGTATAGATCAAATTATGTTTTCAAAAAAATATTCACTATTGCATGCTACTTAAAAATTTGAATGTCATTAACCGTCAGTAATAAAAATGTTGAGAAACGTATTTATCGCGTTTCGCAAGTGAATCAATTATATTTAAGGAAACAGCGTTAAGTGGCGATAATTGTTTGTTATTTGGAAAATATGACTTTATGTTACGATACAATGCTTTGCAATTCAATGAAAGAAATTAATAGTATTAATTAATTGTAAGAAAACAAAATAAAAAATAGGTAATTAATTCAATTAATTAAGTTTTCTATTAACATATTATTACGAATGAGTTGATTGTTTTCAAAATCTAAAGATGCAAACATTCTCCTCTTATGATAATTCTGAGAAAATATAATATGTTTTAATTTTTATCTAAATTCGACATTTTGAACTTTAATTTTTATACATTACTTTAAACACAAACTTTACAAGTATTTATCTTGTCATGAGTAGTATTTCACAATCCAGTTTTAACCAGTCATACTCTTTTAGAGACTTATTTACATATGTACACACAGGGTGAGGTCATAAGTCATTTAGGTAGGTTTTAAAATTTCGCGAGCGTATTCCTGAATAAAAACGAAAAAACTGTTCTGTGAACATATTAAATCGAAAATCCTTGTCAAAATAATAAATACAAATATCTACAATAGTATTAATAATGATTGTATATAAAAATTTTAACTGAATATAATGATGTTTTATAAGAAATGCTTAAAGTATTTTCTATCATTTTCCATACATGAGTACGACTGATGCATTTTTTATTCATTTGTGTTAAATATTTCAAGAGCAAGAAATTTGCGATATAATGTCTATAAAAATATTTACTTAAAAACTTTTTATTTAAAAACATGCTCATGAAATTTTAAAACATGCTTATAATTCACCTTCTGTATATGTAATGCTTTATCTATACATATTTTATATATATGCAATTAGCTTCTAAAAGCGTAACTTTTTCCTAAGTTAAAAATAATTCTTTTTTTTTATCTACTTTGAATTCATTAAAATATATTAATTATAAAATTCATTATAATATATTAATTATAAATTATAATATATTAATTATAATAATGATAGTATATCAACGAAGTTTACAAAAAATTGAGTAATGAATAATTTTTTTGAGCTAATCATATATTTTTATTTGATTAACAAAATAACATAATTTTTTACAAAAACAATTTTATTTAATAATAAAATCTCATCTTTTAGAGTTATAAAAATTTCTAAACTTAATTTTAAATAATTCTGTTTAATTTTTTCTACATTCTAATAAAAGTGAACAAATTCAGTAAATTTTTAAAAAAAGATTTTTTTAATCAGTCTGCAACAATTAAATTGTATAACTTATAGAAATATTTTACATTATATAATTTTTTAATGACTTGTTTATAGTTAAACCAGAATAATGTAAAAATCGAATTTATCAAGATTCATTATAAGAGAATTGATCTACAATTGAATTTTTATACTTTCTCTGTTTGTAAATGTAAAATTTATCTTAATATGTTTTGTAATATTATAGATAAATCGATTTATAAGACTCAAATTAATAAAAATTCTATTAAATAAGTTTTTATTATTTATTTTTATGAAATACAAACAAAAGTTTGACAAAATTTATGTATTTTTGTATTAGAATTTATCTATTTAATATTTCAGCTTGCTGCAGTATTTACTTTAAATTTGTTTGACTTTTTGTAATTTTATTTGCTGTATTTTTAAAATCATTTTAGATTATCATGTTGATTATTGGAAAAAATACATTATACATTATAACAATGTGTTACTAATGAAATCATCTCATATGTTATGTAAAATATTTTGATGTAGTGAATAAATTTCTCAGTTAAAAGAGTCAATGTAAGATATATATCCTTATATATACGTGTTAACAGCTGAAGTTTCTTTGTTTAGTCATTGCAATCATTAAATGCAATAGTTAGTATAATTTTCTTGATTTTTTTCCCTAAATAATTATCTTTTTCTACGATACTGTGTCAACTGTTATGTTACGTATCTAGTAAGCAAAAAGTATTAGTTTTGAAATATTAATTTTATATAAATTTTTCAATGTTTTTAACATTTAATAAATGTAGTTACAATATTATCTAATAATGTTCATGAATATTTAAAAAGCGTTCTTAATATAGATTTTAAATATTCAAATATTTTATAAATCACATATTTTATATATCACAGACATTAAAAAATGTTACTTAAAAAATGTTAAGATGTTGCAATATTAAATGTTAAAGTGTGAATGTTTTTAACATTGAATATATTGAAATAACATTCTATATTGTTGCTTTTAATGTTGCTACAATATTGAAACAACATTGAACAAATAAATATTAAAGTCACTCACTTAGCAGTACACGACATTTTAGGTCTAGAAGGACTTAACATAATAATTTTCTCATAAATAATCATTACAGTAGAATACATTGTAGTTGTGAGATTTTTTTTATTTGTATTTTAATGAAATGGTTTTTAGAGGAAAACTCACAAACTCTAACATGAAAGTAATAGAAATATATTTTGAAAGTATTTTGTGTAGTTTTGTGTAAAAAATTAATTCAGGAATCTTATGTTCTTGGAAAATTATATAATATTCAATAAATGTTATATAGATATTCGAATGTTAAATTGCAACGTTTGCGAAATATTACTTTAACAAACATTGAACGTTTCTACAATATCTTTCAACATTTTGCAATGTTGCAATTTAGCATATCTGAGATGTTGATTCAATATTATCATAATATTGTTTGTTATGTATTTCAAAATCTTTAAATTATGCTAAAAGTTTGTTCTTATAATGATATTGTATATAACGTTAAAATACAATATATTTAAAAATATATAAAAATTGTAAGAATACATTGTAGAAATGATTTTTTGCTTACTCATATTCAATGTTAATAGAATGTCCCCCTTCTACATGTCCCTCTTATTCACCTTCATTACTCTTATTCACTCTTGCATTTCCTTATCTCAGTCGAAGCGCGGTTATGGTTGCGTTTACCACGATCTCCTATCGTATCTTATAAAGGACTCATCAATTTTCGTCAGTTTTTATGTGTTTTGATCTAAGCGAAAAGCAGCAAATGTTTCTAGAAGAAACATTTCAAGGAAAGCATTTCTTACATGTTACAAAAACCTGAGTTGATAGAAAGCTGAATAATTATCGGTTCGTTGAGACGATGATTGATTGATTGAGTATCGTGATTGATTGTGAATTTTTTTTTGTTGATTTTCCAAGTGAAATTGGATAAATAGAAAAATATTTCCCACTCTACACATAAAAACGCTAGTGAGATGACACGAGGAAGTAAAGACTACCTTGAAGATATGTTGGACATGTCAGAGTTTCCAATTAACGACAGTCAAAGTGAAATCCCCCAATTCTTCACGGGATGTAATGTGTTAATAACGGGTGGTTCCGGTTTTCTCGGCCAACTTTTAATAGAAAAATTATTGCGGTAAAAAGATATTTTAATATAAAAGATAAATGCAGAAACGATTTATATAACATTAACAATGTAAATAACTTTGCAATGTCTTTTTTAAAAATTATTTTGAAGATAATTTTTATAAATTTTTAGATACTGAAAATAATACCATAAATCAAATTTTACCAGTATGTTAAGTCATATTCAGTCATATTCAATCGAAATAATAATGCTAAAACTTGTTCCTTTATAATATTTAATATTTTTTGTAAGAAAGGTTAATGTTATTTTGAAATTCTAATCTAATCAGACATAATGAATGTATTGTTAATTTTTTTATGAAACTTTCTTTTAACTTTTTTATGAAAAATGTTAAATATTATAAAAAAGCAATTTTTGCACAACTTAATTATTTTGGAAACTTGACGTGTTAATAAAATTTGGTTTGCGGCATCATTTTTATCATTCAAAATTTATAAAAAAATATCTTATTTAATATATAAAATAATTAA